ATCAAAAGTCAAAAGAACCCCGGCAGCTGATTTTAAACCATGCAAGAAATTGCAAGTCAGCTAAAGCAGCTTTTTTGGACTTCAGGTTTTCAAAACAACCTTGATCTCCTGTGGATTATACAAAAACCTGCAAATCCACCGTTTCAGTCTTCAGATCTGTTATAGATTAGGTTACATCAGATGAAACATTGACAGTGTGCTTTTGACAAAATTTCAGTTTTACCACAATCCCACCAATGCATTACAGGTTCAAAATTCCCTTTTCTAGATAGAAAAAGCTAAGTTGAAAAACTCAATCTCTCAGTCAGCTCACCACACAGTCTCCCACCAACTCCCAGCATGCAATGTGAAAGGAAGAAAGAAAAAACAAAGAAGACAATAAATGAACGAACGATTGAGAGAAAAATCCCAAAGCTTCAGCATTGCAGTAGATCCTTCTGCTGCTGTTTCCATATTTTTCTCCGTCATCTTTAATGTTTTGCTTCTTCCTCTGTTTTTGCTTTTCTTTTCCTCCATGTTACCATTGCAGGTGAATGAGATACTGACTGCCTTGGGGCTCCTGGACTGCGCCCACACTCGTACCAGCGCCCTCTCTGGTGGTCAGTGCAAACGTCTGGCTATTGCCTTAGAACTGGTCAACAACCCCCCAGTCATGTTCTTCGATGAGCCCACCAGGTAGAGAAAGGAACACCAATGTCTTACCGTACAGAACAACGTTTACATGGCAGAGGCTTTGCATTCAAGCAGACTGGTTGGTCTAAAAATGACCCTTTATTGTTTACTTATAGTATTAGGGTAGGTTTTTCCCTACTGTTGGTGGCAGCTGGAAGTAGATGCTAGCGTTTTCCATATACATAATCCAAACTGCAGGCACCAGGATAATAAGGCAAACATGTTTTACTGGCAGGTTTTTACATTTGAAGTTGATTTAGGCGTTAATAAACTGTTTCAGAGGAGTGATCATAGCGCTCTGCATCAGCAGTGCTGTGTCTGACTCCCTGCCAGCTCCCAGATCAGCTTCTCTGATTGGATGATGTGGCGCGTTGACCATTAAAAGTTACATTTATCCAACTCCAGCAGCTGCTGTTTGGTGAGTTCATCAGATCTCTAGGGAGTTGATTAGACAATGAAGAGATCCCCAAAATCCAACAGACAACAGATGCAGTTTTGAAAAGTTAGGGGACAATACCAGAGAAGAGAGAGGAATGAATAATGGAAGTAATGAAGGGGAGGAGGGAGGTGAGACTGTGGAGAGGGGGTCAAGAGAACAGGTAGAGGACTTGGATTTAAGAATGAGGTCAGAAATTTCAGAAGAAGTGGGCTTTAGGAAGCAGGAGGATGACTGGCTATGTGGAAGGGGCAGAGGGGAAGGGAGAGGCAAGGCGGTCGTATGTAGTTGCTGGTGAATGGAGGTGCTTTTTTTTTTATTAAAAAAGATTATTAAAGAATTACTAGTCTGACTTGAATACATGTGAGAAGGCAGCGAATCAGGGGGGTCAGAAATCTTGTGCATTATAGAAAAGAGAGACTTGGAGTTAATGTTGTTGGTGCAGATAAGGTACATACACATATATAGATATAACAGGGGGGGCAGTATTGAAGGCAGACAAACAGTCGGATAGTTCAAAAGAAAATGCCCAATCATCAGTTACAGCAATTAGATTCTATTCAGTTTATTTCTATAGCTCCAATTCACATCATGTCATCTCAGGTCACTTTCCAGTTCACCAGATCATCCAGTCAGATTGATTCAAAGTTTTCTATCTAAGGAAAACCAGCTGATTGCATCGACTCATTGACTCTTCAGCAATCCCTCACACTAAGCATGCTTGTAGCGACAGTGGAGAGGAAAAACTCCCTTTGAACAGGAAGAAACCTCCAGCAGAACCAGGCTCAGTGTGAGCGGCCATCTGCTGAGGCCCACTGGGGTTCAAGGAGACAGAAGCAGACATAGAAAAAGAAGCATAGATACAAAAGGCAACTGTCAACCAGCTCCACAGGCGGCCCCGTCCAGGAAACACACAGCCAGGCAGACGAGCTCTGAGCCAGCTCCCATGTCAGAGGATGAAGAGAGCACATCCAGTTAGTCACAGTCAGAGAAACAGGACTACACTGGAAAACAGGCCAAGCTCCAACATCTAGAAACAAAGGTGTTGATGGCAGCAGCACAGCTGATATTTCTCTCCAGGATGGAGTCAGCAGGAAGGAGGATATCAGTTGTCCAAAGAGGTTCTGTTGTTACAGAACCCTTTATATCTGAGCCATATCCGGTGGAGGTTTGTTTCTCAGGTTAAGTAATAACAGTCTTTATTCCAGTCATTTTTAACATATCAATTATTCTTAAATTAAATGCATTTGTCCTTAAATTTAGGGGGTAAGTGAGACATTTTGCCAACGGAACAAGACAATTTACATTTAAAATAAGAAAAAACAATGGCTTTGTCTAATTTCAAGTGTATATTATTTAATTATCTTACTTTAAGAATAATAATCCTCATTCCATTGGCAAACACTCTTATTTACCTACTCAAATTAAGAGTAAATACACTTAATTTTTACTTATTTCTAGATTGTTTTTGCAGTGCAACTTCATTGGTTACTGCTGCTGGAATGAAGCACTGTACACAACCCCACCCCTCAAAAGCCCACAAAGTACCGGGTCTCTTAAGGGTCCAAAGCAACAAGATAATAAACCACAGGGAACGCAAATTTACCCGAGTAAATGCATGTGGTAAACTTTTGAATAAAGTGCAAAAGTTTACTAACTTTTGAAGTAAACTTTTGCACTTTATTGTCCTGTGTAAGTAGTGACAATTTCAGACTATTTATAGTTAAGGAAATGAATTTTATATTTGTTGTCCTGTTGTCTTATTACCTTGAGTTCATTAAAGTGTTGAATCAGCCTAGCCGCTCATAGATTTGCTTTCTCTTATTTCAGTGGTTTAGACAGTGTGTCCTGCTACCAAGTGGTGTCCCTAATGCGATCTCTTGCACTGGGAGGACGTACTATTATCTGCACCATTCACCAGCCGAGTGCCAAACTGTTTGAAATGTTTGACAAGGTGTGTATCTGTTCACTCTGTGATGCTCACAGGTCACACTGCCCTCTTCGCTGCTTATAAAACTCGTATCTCATCAGCTATCCAAGATAAGTTGTCTTTTTCACTTCTTAGCATTAAACTCTCTTTCTTCCCCAGCTGTACATCCTCAGCCAGGGTCAGTGCATCTATAAAGGATCGGTTCCATACCTCATCCCCTACATGAAGATTTTAGGTCTCAACTGTCCGACCTATCACAACCCTGCTGACTTCAGTGGGTTCACATTTCTACCAAATCTAAGTTTCACCCTTTTTTTAAGTTGACTTCTTAACTTTATTTCTTTCACCGTCTCTTCTGATCAAGTCATTGAGGTGGCGTCAGGAGAGTACGGGGACCTGAACCCTGTGCTCTTTGAGGCTGTTCAGGGTGGAATGTGGGCCCTTGAACATAAGAAGAACCTCTGTGAAACCAATGGGACGCTGATTGTTGCAGCAAACAGCTCCATGGTAGGTAGGAGATGATGTCCATGCTTAGTAGCATCACATATATTTAATGGTGAATGAGCCGATGATAACAGGTATCACTGAAAG